TAAAAATGTAATACATAATTTAATATAGATAAACATGAAGATACAGATTACCTCCTGCGGGACAGGGTCTTAAATGATACTCTGCTGTCGGCTATAAAACATGAATCACTCGTGCATTTCATGCACATGTGTCTATACTCCCATGTTTACCATATCTTACCCCAAGCATCATACTAAAAAAAAGCAAACCACTCAACCCAAAACAAACAGTACTGTTTGTAAACTGGGACTCTCCAGCATAGACCTCAGCCGATTCAGAACAGCATGGGGGAGTTTCAGCCGCTTTCAATGACTGCACCATGTCTCTTCCTGACAGTGCCAGAAGGGAAATATAAAAGCTCTGAAGTTATACAAATTTCAACATACTTATAAAGATGTAGGAGTAAATTTGAGAACAAAACCATGATTTTCATTTTTAGATAAGAATGTTACCTGAAAGATTACATATAAAATTTGATTTTTAAATCAACTCTGCTCAGAAGAGCATTTCCACGAAAATCATCTTTATTTCTTCAGTTACTATATAAACGACAAAATCTCTATGAGCAGGAAAAGGAAGTAAACTGCAATAATGATCTGTCATTATCACAGAAGACACTTTCCTATATGTTTAACAAAAAAGTAGAAGGCATCAGCATTTAAGAAAAACCCAAGCATTTAAAATCATCCAAATGCCTTCTGCAGTCACAGGGCCTGAACCTGCATGGGAATCCCAAAGTTAGCATGTGACTCAGGATTCACTGACTCCAAACGTGCAGGTTCCAGACTTTATTTTGTAGAGCTCTACGGCTACGTTTGTAAAACCATTCCCAGATAACAGTACTGTGTAATTATAACTGGCCACAAAGTAACAGCTCGTTTACTAGACAGTCTTAACAGTAGTATTTTGCAAATTAATACTATACATAAGTAGAATTTTTAAAGCCATATGAATCACAGTAGTCTTTAATCAAACAATTTTCTTTGGGAGGGCCCTCATAAAGTTTTCTCTTCACAATGTCTGATCAGTCAGAACCGATCAAATATGCAAATAAGAAAATAATGATTTGAGTTTTACAAGCACGTATGACAAATAAACAAACACCACCGGGATCATTTGGAAAACTGTTTCCATTAGAAGATTAACAATAGAAGCCCTAAGAATGTATTTTATTTAAAATAAATAATAATCGGGTTTTTCAAACTTTAGAAATTCAAACCAACTCGGTAATCACCCCTTCATTTAGGCCAGAAAGTAGCTGCCACGCAGTCCAAGTTCAGAACAAGTAATTCTGAGGTTAAGAAGAAAAAAAAACAAAAACAAAAAAACAAACTTATCCAAGGGAAACCTGACAAAAGCTGGTACTTTTGTGTAAGCGCCTGCCATTTAAAAATACTTCGCCTGTTCCACCGCTTTACAAAACTGCAGCTACGCTACCCCTGGCAGCCACCCTTGGAACCGCGCTGTCGCAGGACCCCGGCGAGCCGGCTGAACCCCTGCCTGGCCGCGGACGCCCGGTTCCCAGCACGGCGCGGGGCTCCCGGGCACCG